TAATATATATATATATATATACATCCATACATATATACACTCACACACATATATATACACACATACATATATGCTTACATCAACCTTGCATACATTTGCATATACATATACACATATATTCATAAATCTATTACACTGACAGCTCCCCAGACAGTGTTGCAGTATATTAGATGTCGATAAAGTAATGAAAAATAAATACATTTATATGTATTTATAGTGAGAAAATCACGCGTATAGTGCAAGATACCACACTGTTTATTAGTTTTTTGACGAATATTGATCGTATGTGTTGCACAAGTGGAGCAGGGGACGGGGAAATGACAGGCAAAGTGGATTTAATTATTGGTGCTGTGATGCCATCATAACGGGGGCAGAGTTGTTCAGTTGATTTACTACCTCAAAGAGTTCGGTTACGGGATTTAATGATGGATTTGCGTTGTGCGGAGGCTCCATGAATTTCATGAAACTATGGAATGGATGAGGGACATTGTTAATCAAGTTACATTAACGAAATAATTATTGATATAGTGAGGAATTTGAGCAGAATCTTGAGACTTGACTTTTCTCTACTATCGTTTCATTCTGGAATTATTATTTCTGTTTAGAGTTGAAGTGATGATCTTCTATGTGTTCCTGTAGTTATTTGAGTTAGTCTTTAATTCTTCTGTATAGTATTTGCTGCGGACAGAGCGAATGTCTTTAGTGATAAGATTACGCGCTCGTCTGAACTGATCTCCATATGTAATCGGCCGTTTTGCATATAGGCCCTGTATATGTTCTTCTCAGTTATAAGAGCCTTTATTGCTGGAGTTATGAAGGGTTTGTCATGTGATTTTGGTTTGATTGATTTGGATTTTAACTCGAAATTACTTATCATAGCCGACAGAAAAAATAGTGATAAAGTTATCGTAAACAATATTAGGGTAAGCTAAATCCCAGTACTTCAGGAATACCTAAAACTGGCCAGTTCTACCTTCGTTAAAATCTCTGTAAGTTTTCTTTCTTTCTTTCCTTGTTTCTCTATTATGGCAGGTTCTGAAAGTTGAAAAAAATGGGGAAATGATCAGACATGGTTGTGTGGATGACAGTATGAGTATAACTAGTGTTTATATTCCTTATAAGAGCTACTTTATACAACGTAAATATGTAAAGGCAATGAAGTATATGGAAAATAAGGTAATTATGTCAATACATACGTTCCTATAGGTTAGAAGAGAGAGCATGGACTGTTAGGTATATTTTATCATTGAAAGTATAGCCACTTCCCTATTATTACTTGTTATTATTACTTATCATTATCATTATCATTATCATTAATGGGTATTTAAGAGATAATATGAACTGAATTTTTCATTGACAGTAAGGCCACTTTCCTAAGGTCCACGTGCTATTATTAATGGTATTTGAATGGCATGGTATTTATTGTTGGTATATCGAAATAATATATATAAAGTATATTGAACGCCTGGCAAATGTTAGTTGCTTTAGAAAGGAAGTCACACACACTTACACACAAAGGTACGTATTTATCTTCCTCCGTGAATTACTGAATTATTACGAAATATTACGAAATATAATTGCATACGATTCCCCATTTGTCTGTCATCTTAATCTAATTAGTATTGTCAATATGATTGAGATAGATGGATATTGCACAGCGACGTAAATCAGTTACTGAAAACGGCAAATGTGGATGTTGAGATGAAATGATTTTCGATGTTAATTAAATTGATTAAGTTGCTGCTGCCATATTACATGCCACTGAAGTGAATTTCATTGGCATAATATGTTAGCATGAACTATATTCTTATATCCAAAGACAAAAGTGATGAAAGGAAAAGCCGTTTAATGATAAAGTTAATACTGTACTTACATCTAATATATTGCACTGATTCAGTTATGGGACAAATCAACTTTTTTTTTTCTTACTGATGTACCAATATCAGCTTTAAACAAATGAAAACATATGAAAAACTTAATAGTATATAATCTAACGATACAAGGGAATACATTAAATTACTGTGATATTTTCCTAATGTTACGTAGTTAATGGTAAGAACAATTAAAAAAGAAATACAAAAATGAAAATATGGAATAAATTGAACACAAACTTTCTGAAAGGTGTACTTAAGGAAGTACCCGGGGAGACACACTTATTTTGAAAATGTCCTAGTAATGATAATAATAACAACAACTTTAAAGAACACTCTGTCGCGTCCGGTTGCTCCTCCAATTAATAATGACATAATTTATGTAATATCTAAAACAGGCAAGCTAAAAATTCAAGAAAGTTAGAAAGTCAGGTGTTCTTTTTAAACCAAGGGGATGGGATGGTTTGATATCCCCGTCATGTAGAAAAAAGTATGAATGAGAATATCTTCATATCTTCACAAGAGATGTATTTAACCGGATACGATGATATCTTCGCCAGCAATATGTGTATTTCTGTATTTCTTCCAAAACGGTCAGATACACCTCTTGTATTGTGAAGATATTCATTCTCATTCATACCTTTTCTACATTTGTCAACATGAATTCGGTTTATTCATGTCATGTCCACTGTGATTTTGTTTTTTACCCATAGATGGCGCCACAAGTAGTTACCAAGGAATCAGTTACTAGTCTTACCTATCTCCCCTGTTTACTTTTTTCCATAGTTTTCGGTATTAATCTTTTTATTGCTACTAGTATCGCAGTAACATTATAGTAATCAGTTAGTCATAATGATAGCTATCGATATCAATCGTTTTAGAA